GATGTTATTTAACATGTCTGATAGATAGTGAATCAGTCTACCGCTTTGAAGATCAAAGAAATTAACGTAAAACACTGAAAATCACTTGTGGTAGAATGATTTATAACTTTCCTGATCAAAATTCCTATTCTCCACAGCTGGAGTGCTTCCAATAAGCATAGCATATTTGATAGCGGTTGTAAGGAATGTCTTTCAAATTTCTTCACTTCATTACACGAGTTTCCCTGAAAACTATGCTATACTTCTGTTGTTTAATGTGAAGAGAAACGTGTTTAAACGCGGTATATGTATGTAAGAGCTATCTTAGGAAGTATCTTGCGACTCCAAAGGTGACTCTAGCAACGTCTGAGTCAACCAAGTAGGTTTACGTGGAATGGCTGTAAAGACTAATTTCCACTAGATAAAGGAGTCTAATCGGTCGTTTCAGTTAATGTTATGGTGGCAGTTAGAGTTATTGGGAAATATCTAAAAGTACAGCGGTACTATACATTTGACGAAACACATCAAATCAAGACTGCAGTCAACTCCACAGCGGTGTGGTTGAATCTGCAGCCATTGAAACCCATCACATTTGCTGGAATTTATAACTATATGGGACAGATCATCAGAGTGTGGTTTTGTGACTTTGTGAAACAGGACAATGTTTCCCGAAATGTCTCCTTAGGAATTTAGATAACTTGATCATTGTTGAAATACAATCCCAGTCGTTCATCGCAGGATGTGTGAGTGACATTGATTAGTCTGATCCACTCAAATCTCATAAAATTCAGATAAAAGCAGTAAGCTCCATCGAACTCCATTTCAGTGTTTCCTTTAGAAAAAATAGTCTTGTTGTTATAACTTTCATTAGACCACTTTACATCATATGTCTGTTTGTCACACCCACCTTGTAATCTCTTGCTCAGCAAGTAATAAGCAGCAGATTGCTCCACACTTCGGAGACAACATTGAAATGGAAGACTGAAGGAGAAAATGTGGCTTCTTGACAGGAAATATCTACACAAGGATACGTGTGACACAGTCTACGCCTGTAATAGGAACAGTTGAGAAATGATGTATGTGAAATTCCACTAAAGATGTGACACGTGATCGAACAAATATTGTCACACAGGTTAGCTGCAGTTACTGTTATGTACCAAAGGAAGCCAATCGAGGTGGTAACCAGTCTTTATGTAGAAGAAAACCCTCATTTCGATCGAACTCAAGTGATTTGGAATTCAGTCTTGATTTTCAAAATGCATTATAGTCTAAGGCTTTTTACTGATGATTGGAAGCTCCTGTTGATTTGCATGAATGACAACCAAGCCCAAGTTGATCATTCACCCTGAATAAGGACCACCTAGGATATTTTAACTTCTTCAAAACACGAAATATTGGAAGGATGGCGTTTGATATTTACCAGTGGAGAATACTTATGTGTATGCAAGCTGACAGCCCCTGTCACCTTCTAAATGCAAATCATGGAATCGTCTTTTATGTACAGAATATAAGTAATAGGATTATAAATCAGTCCTGTTGATACCTCTTTTTCATGTACCCCGAGTGCAACTTTGACAAAATTGTCTTCATAACTACTCTTGCTCACAATGACTGCTGCGACGCAAAGTGGAAGTGAAACTTGAGTCACACAAGTGATTAGTTGCATGGACTTTATATTTTATATCATTTAGTGGTCCGTGCTTATCGTTGAGAAATGCTGCTATGCTCAATACTCATTTATTGCTAATGTGCGTATATATGTAAGAATGTCATGTGAGTAGGAGACATTCGAATAGATTATGGTTTGATAATGTCTCATGTGAATTTGTGACTGGGGTAATAGGACACTGTTTTCTGCTAAAACCCAGATACGTTTATCAACTACATAGTCCACCCAAGAGTTCATATTCCTTTGTCACATGATGATGACCAGTTTTAGCAAGCACTGTAGACTATTCACATTATTGTCTCTACATTTTAGTCGCCTTTCCAATGTTTTAATGCATGCTTGTGTATAATAAACCTCGGCAACGGCACATGATGATAACATCTAGTATGCATTCTCGAGACTCCCATCTTCACCAATTGTTACCAGTAAATATACCAGGACATGTGCATTGCATTTCAAGCAAATTCATGCCAGAATATGACACAGTGTCTCCTCTGCTTTCAACTCTCCATCACTTACCAATCTATTAGTATTGTTTTCAAAAGTGACTACTTCATACGTCGCAACTTCACACTCCGAAATGCATCAATATTAGGAAACGAAACACAACACATTTCAAGTCAGAGAATTAGTATTCCTCGTCTACGTTTTGTGTGCAACACCGCTCTCAGCTTCAGGGATGAAATTGACACAGTAGGCCATGTACAACCGAAATTCACGTACCACAAGTAATCTAACTGAGCATAGAAAACTGTATGTTTTCCATTGACTGTGGTGTTGTCTCCGTCAAATCACTGACAAGGATGCGTGCATCACCTAAGACGGATTCATGTTCGTTGGATGCAGTCAGTGTTGTACTTAACAGAATGGGAGAAGTTTAATACGTTGTCTATAGTGTTGCTTTCAAAACAACAATTATGCTGTAAGCTAAGCTTAAATTTCACTAATTTTTATTGCGATTGATTCATTGTGTGACCTTCCCCTGACTGTTATACTGGACCTGATAGACCAATTTCCGTTGATGCGTAAGCTACTGTGCAGAAGCCTCGATATTGTTGAAAGATTCATTGTGATATAACTTACTTAGTGATGTGTCCTCAATTCGACTGCCCACTACCAACAAACAAACTAGAAAATAACAAATCTCCAAGCAATATTGGCGTGTTTGAATGGGAGCCGTTACACCATAGCAGACCAAACAATACCATGAAGTACAACTACGAAATATCTAAAGTGGAAATCAATGAAAGCTAATACCGTTCTCACAAGTGGTGACCGTTGTCACTCAGTAACTCAGAGGATAGTGCTCTAATGCTTGAAGCGATGGACGTTGGGTTCAAGTCTCGTTGAAGACACCATCACTCACCGTGATATAAGCATTTGCAACCACTGGTTTACAAAAAGGGTGAAGTGTGCATTTTGAATTTCATCTCAAGTAACCACTAGGAAAATTACATATTACAAGTTTTGTTTTCTATTTAAAATGACGATAAATACTAGCAAATACGTTTCCTCTACACACATTTAGTGTCAACATCAATGATTACTATCCTCCTGAATAAGTTTTACTAAGTTTCTAGGCGTCGAAGCTAAAATTGTTGGCCACAACGGAAAAGCTAAGTTTGTGGCAAATACATTCCTAAAATCAAAATATGAGTCGGTATTGCAATGCCGATTACTTTTAAATGTGTGTATCTGTCTATTCGGCAGGTGCTTCTCAGACCACAAAAACATTTCCAGATTTTGTTGAGAAGCACTGAAGTTAAATCAGTCAATAAACAGATGCATGGTGAGCTATAGGATTTGGCGTAGTCTTTAATGTGATGTGCACCACTTCAAATATACTGCTTGTTTCAACCTACTATGGCCTCCACCACAAAGGTGAGGTTATCAATGCTTAATTGACTGAACCAGAACTAAACGTTGGGAAAGGTGTTTTTAAACAACTTCTTTCAGGCAGTCAACTCATGAACTACTTTGGTCGTCATTGCTGTTTCTTTCTTCAGCTTCTCTTATAAACACACTTCTAACCTGGAAACTTTGACAGTTGTTTTCGCCATCCGAACAACCCTTTAAAATCTCTTTTCATTGGTATTTCTGTTATCAGATCTCTGCAAAGTTTAACACTAACAACCACCTATGGATTGTTGTTACGATGCTCTTGTTATAATTACTGCAGGTATGATTCCATTTCAACCATTTTACACTTCGATCGATGCAGTCCATTTCTAACATTTTTTAGTTCATCCCAGAGATTTTCTGTATTCCGTCACCGAATGCATGTCGTAGTCTTGAATTAAATACATTACTAGTTCGTAACCCAACTCTGTCATCATTTATTACGATTATTTGTCAGTAATTTGACATTCATCAACAATTATATCCAACTTATCATCCACATAAACAGACAAGTCATTCAAATACCCACAAGTTTAAGATTAATCTGATCATTACTCGGCCTTGAATTATGTCTGAATATGTATTGTTTACGAATTCAGCTCTCATGAACGATTTTGTCTGATAATAGTAGACACTCTAATTATCTCTAAGGGAGGAATGGCTGAATAATGAGCTAAATGCTGGTGTCCGATGAGAGCAGTTCCATGAATATTATGATGACCAACCCTGAAAGGATCAGCTCTTATCCTTTACGTATCAGCTTTTTATGTATCTCGCAAAACATGTGAAGTATCACAGTAAGCAATATATCAGATATAGTTGGTGACTGACTAACAAACTACTCACGAATATTGACATGGTCCCTTTGGAATATGAGTAAGGTGATTGTCTTATTTCGGAAGAGATGGAAAATGTTAATTCTTGAGGATCCAGTTCGTCAACTAACTCTAGCCTCACATGCTCCTAAAAAGAGAGGTAGACTGTCCAGACAATTTCCTTTGAGGTGTTTGGTACTTGAAGCTTATTCTATACCTCGACCTTAAGACGTATGCCATTGTCGGTTGAAAATGACGCGAAATCTGTTGAGGTGTAATCACAGGGGCAGTGGGTCATTTAAACCTATCGAAGTGCCGTATTCAGTGTTCTAGGCATCAGTCGGTCTGCTTTTCATAGGCTTCAAATTTCTTAAATAAGAATTTTGTTATCTCTTGGTTTCCAATCATATTGAGGTCACTGAACTGATCGACGTCTATTCACATTGCGTTTCAGTTGAAGATGACCTAGTGAATAATACACCACTATTCTTCGAAATAGAGAATTAGAAAGCCACCGATGTGAAAAAATCTCTCAGGGGAAAGACGATTCTTCATCAATAAAAATCAAGTATATTCATAAATCAAAACTATTTGATTGAAAATGTCACTGCACAAAACATTAAGATATCCCAGTTATTTCAATCCAACGGCAATCTGGCGATAATCTTCTCAAACCATGACTGTAATAAACCTGCACGTTTGGCAGACATTGCTAGAACTTCTTCATGGTTTGCGATCACTTTACTTTCAACATCCAGTACACTTATATTTGTGACCAATGAAACGGCAAGTACTTTCATTCCACAATGACGAGCAAGTATTACTTCTGGTATGGTACTCATACCTGAAAGTGTAATGAAAAATTCGCAACAATAAATTAGTGATATGTTTCGTGCATGATGTCGATGACAAAATCAGCTCTGACAACCTTGATTAGCGCGCGACAACCTGCCTATCTTCGATGCATTATAATTTCTCCAGATCAGGAGGAAATAACATGTCAGTTTTCTGAATTGGCTATCCAAGGAAATCATAAGGGGGATAGATTGGCCACTCCAATATTACCACACGACAACGCTACTTCAAGTGTAGTATCACTGTGTTATGAACTGGATACTATGGTGTTATAAAATGAGCGTTGTTGTTTCACATCTCAGTTATCTAAGATTGATAATTAGGGCGAAAATTATGGAAAATGTCAACTAATGTATTTGCCGCTAAAGTGACATGCTAGACAAAAAAATTTCCATACAAGTCACCATGAGACTGATAAAACACTACTTTAGTTTCCTGATTGTTAACAGAACGAGATTTTGTACTGATAGTAGAGTTGAGTAAATTTAATGGTAGGCGAAATTAAAGCTTGAAATAACGCAGCAACAATGTAATGCTTATCATGCAGTAGAGTCTCCGAAATGAAGCCGTATCTTCCAACACTGTCACAATTCGAAGATTTTAATGGCAATATTATAGTATCCAGCACTATTTTTGTGATTGAAAAAGAAATGGTTGGTGGCTCGCATTCTCATGTTGAAGAGAATATCACACTCCAATATAGCCGTACGACACATCAGGAAAGACCTCTGACACACAACAAGGGTAGCAAAAGACTGTAATATGTCTGTGCTAAATGCCACATACAAACTGACTGAACAGTAGGCTACTGTTGTAATTGTTGCTATAGATTCAGCCTGAGCTGAATTTCTCCGATCACAACGCTGATGGGCTCGGCCCTAGATGAACGAAAGGGCTGCCGGGTGTTTGACCCATCTGATATGATAACTGAATTCCAATTACAAGTATAAATGGATTCCAACCATTCGCGTTCTTCCACAGTGTATTTTGAGATGGCTGGATCAAATATTAGTGCCTCTCACTACTAATCCTGATAATAAAATCGCACATTTGGAGTGACAGACTACGTTTTATTCAGTAATTTAGAAAGCTCACAAAAATCCAGTCTCTGGGTAGAAGAAATGAGACTTTTTTGTGCAAAACGAAGTAAATGACTCGGTGAAGTAGAAAAATTCATCTAAATGTCTCAGTTTATACACGTTTATAATCGTCTTGAAAAAGGATCAATTACTTCACCTAGTTATACCAAAACACTATTTAATCAGTAATTTCGGAAACACAACTCTTTCTAACACGACTGGGAGTCTCCCGGTTCCAAAGATGGGGATATTTTGATGACGAAAAAATCGTACTTATCAGTGAACAAACACAATCCGAGTGGTACATTCTATTCACAGGTAACAATGAGTCACTCACCAACAACATCGCAACCCATCATAAGCAACATCTTGCACTCAGCAGGTGTTTCATAATTAGGACCACCATTCATGCAGTAGACACCCTCGTGAACCAGGTCCTGAAAGTTCTCCTCTTTGGCGACTTGAAGGGCTAATTTCCTCAAGTTCAAATCATAGGCATCCGAGAGTGCTGGAAATCGAGGGCCAAATCTAAGGAGTTGAAAATACAGTCAAACAAATTTGTAACTTACGCTTCATCATTCGGACCAACCAGGACGTTGTTCAGTGACAGTCCAGCAAAGTAAAGATGGTCTTTCAAGATGACGAAATCACCACTTTTTAGATCTCTGTTCAAACCGCCAACAGCATTGCTAATCAACAGAGTTTTGACACCCAACAGTTTCATAACGCGTATCGGGATAGCTATCTGTCATGTGGAAATGATAACTTCACAGATTTGATACCTCATGTCTGCTGTATCCTTCATACATATGAAATCGTCCTTGCAACACAACCACCTTACGACCACTTAGAGTTCCGAATATCAGGTTTCCAGAATGTCCCGCAACTAGAATTTTACGCAAGAACATAAAGATACTTACCAGTCGTTCTTGGAAAGCCAGGTATGTCCGTATATGGGATTATCTTCGGGTTGCTTATTCCATCGGCAAGCTGTCCCAAACCACTTCCACAAATGACCCCTATCTCTGGTTCAATACTAACCAACGCTCGTATATAATCTGCTACCTTGGACACATTTTCATAACTTGCAGGTGAAGAAGACGACCTAGGGTTTTGTTGAGACTACGTGCATGGAACTTACATTTCCAAACTCCAGTGTCAATGTGTAAAGAGCGCTAAAGAGAAAAGTGTACTCGGTAATTTTAAAGCAGTCTGTACGGCCATGAAAGTTAACTCGACGTCGTAAACTTTCGACGAACACAAATGCTCTCAGTGAAAATTTCTCTTACATTCAGTCTTACTGCTTTTCAAAAAATCTATGTGAATCCGTATTCCTTTATCTAACATGTCAATGGAGTGCGAAATCATTCCACTTGAAATTTAGAAATGAAGAGCATTATTTAGCTTGGCCATTAATTTCCATGAAATCTTAGGTAATTTTATCTACGATGTGACTCTTCTGGTGGGCAGTTGAGCCGAATCACAAATAATTTCAAGGTACCAGTGACATCTGAGAAGCCAGAGACTTCAGGTATCGCTTAGATACCGCAGATAGAAGTCCTAAACTACTACAGACGCTTCTTAAGATATTCGGAAAGCTTCACAAGGATTAAGTGGGTTTTTGAATTTTCATGCACGGTGAGGATTTCATTTGAAACATTTGAATTTTCAGAAGGTGATGCTAGAAGGTTCAGAGTGAATCGAATGTTTGATTAGAGGAAATTCCAAAATGCACCTTAAGTATTCGCCACGGTGGCTGGTAAGCTCGCTAGGAAGTGGCAAGAATTCAGTGAACGATTTGAAAATGAATTCACTAGCCAAATCACTACAGCAGCTGCACTTAGAGTGCTTTCGATTTTCTCAAATAAAATATGCAAGGAGAACCCACCTTTAGACCGTTAACGCGGAAAGTGGTCTTTGTCTCAAAAGAGCGCTATCTAAAAACGACCGACCTTCATTATCCACTATCCAATCTCTTTTTGCGAACTAGTATAAACCAATTGGTTTCTCACACTCTCTTTTAGGTCCTGAGGAACGTTTCTAGGTCTCTGTTGGATTCCGATGGAGTATGTTAACCCATTCAACTGTTGTAGCTCTGGTCACCCCGACGGACGTTTGGGTGTTGGTAAATTTGTAGGGAGTGTGTTTTAATTTTTCTCCCAAGGACTGTGTTGCAGATAGGTTCCTTGAGTGAACATGGCAGCAGACAATTAGTGGGGTTGGTTGCAAGAAGCAGATGGAAAATGTGTTTAGAGAAATAAGTGAGAGAAAGTGCATAGAAAATAAACAATAGAAAAAAGACGATTAGGAAAAGGTTGAGGTACGAAGGAAGAAACAGCGGCAGATTCATGATAGAGGGACGTTAGAGAAGGCTTTTACTTGGGTGGGATAACGTAAAGTCGGGAGGAATAAAAGAGTAATTAACGTTATAGGACGGCATGTGGGAATGGAGATAGTGATTAAATTATTAGGAGACAGTAACTGGCATGGATGTCTGTGGGGAAGTATAAGGTTGATCTGAACTCGCGGTGGTAGTGGTGGTAAAAATTATTTGATAATGGGTTGCCCGTCCTAAGTTAACAGGTAAAATGATAGCAGCTGGCCGATACATTCGGGTTGTATACACAGAAACCAAGCGAGTACAGCACTCCGTCAGTCTGCACACCACTCGACGTGAAAAAATACTTCATGTGCCCACCAGTGTAACGGAAACATCTTTCTGTACACCTAGACTTTTACCCATCTAACCGAACAAGATTCCATTTTATGCCTCGTAGCAACAGAGGGATACAAACAAATACAAGTGATCATAAACCCCGCATGCCGAAAAAGACTGCTTCCCCTTTAAATAGCAGCCTTGAGAGGCCAAAAACCAGCAGACTGAACTCATCTGCTTTGCCAAATGAAAACAGCACTGAGAATAAAACCAACACGACCTCGAAGGTAGCTGCGTCCACTTACCGTATTCGATACGGACCTGGCAGCAGAAATGCGTACCGAACGAATGGTCGGGTGGAATTTGCATCCACAAAAAACCTAGAATCCGAATCCTAGAGACAATGGACATATTAACTAAATGCATCGGTGTTGATCTGTAATGAGGAACCTGGAAATTGAGGGAAATATTATTGGTCGACTATGCGCTGCGCACAGCTCACAGACAAACTATCCTTGGTCCTAAATTGCTACATCCCTGACAGCACAAATACGCAGCCCAGATATTTCCACTACCCACCTCTCCTGTCCATGAACCCATTTACTGCGTCCCCGATGACACCACAATCAGTAGAGAAGCCTGGAATAAGATATGCGCCAAGTGGCATCACCCATCCGTGTCATATTTACTAGTAACAACAGCAAGCGGGACACCTACCACTCATGCGCAGCACAGCTTGAAAGGGGGCAGGGAAAACTGCGATATATATCAGCACACTGATGAAGCAGTAGCGAGCAATAACCTCACTTCCCTCCCTTCACTTTCTCGATACCCCTTGTATCTATCACCACTAGTCACTAATGCGCGATCCATAGTAAGTAAAATATCGGCACTCCAAACCCAACTACTCACCCGATCACTCGCGGTAAAGTCGAATCTATACGCTTCTTTTTCACTTGGCTCTTGATTATATCAATTTGCAGGTTTCCTGTTGTGTCTGACTACTTATTATCATATTTCTGCATTAATATTTCAGTCTATCCCATATATTTGGCCTACAGCTCCGCTATTCTCCTCACATACTGTGTAACCAACGTTTCGGTATACTACGTATGGCCGTTGACTGCTTTCCGATTTTAACGTATTTCTAAGTGGGATGATCTGAGGCTAAGCGTCCTAAATCCGACTGCTCTAGTGAGAAAAAGCAAAGCAAAGTCATTCCAGTGCTCTTCTGTGTGACAGAAGCATTGTTACTCCGTGTAACTCAGATCTCGATGATCTGGCGTGCCTCACCCCTTTTGTTAGAATCGAAGACATCATATCAGCCATGAGTAGCCGTATCAACAACCACAGGAAAGAAATCAACAACATGAAGACCATGATGGAAGAGATTCGGAGAATAGTTGACGATTTCCATCCATTGGCACATTTTCTAGAGAAGCATGAGAATTTAGTTGAAGACCGTGTAGTGAAGACAGAAAACTTAACAGATCACTTGGCGACCGAGGTAATGAAGAGACGGTCTTCCCAACAGGCCACCGTTTATAACATATCTGATACCCTACCCCTGGATGTAGTTAAGACAAGGGTATTAAACTCATGCGGTATTACAGGAATACACCGTGACTGTAAGCGCCTCTGCAAAAGGTCAGTGCAGTCTACCTGCCCCATGATCCTCAGGTTCACTACTTCATTTGACGCCAAAAGATTTATAAAACTACAATACCACATAAGGTGACATAGCAGCTTTAAAATTGCTTCTATTGCACAAGACAACCGCGTGCCAACGCAGAAAACAGAAAAGGAGTAGTCTGACCAGTTCATCACCTCTAGACACAGAGACTGCTGTGAGCACGAACAGACCATCAGAAAGTGCTGACATGGTCAGTACTTCTGTTGGATATGCCTCTTCCTCCGCACAACAGTCTGAGTCAAATCTAGCTACAAGTGAGCCTGATCCTTCAGTTGCTTGTAAAAGGAAAACCATTGGTACCCCTAAGGTCGCCATAAACAGAAGACCGCTGGGTGGCAGAAAACTCAGAAGTCCGAACGAAACCTCACCATCTAAGGCTAAAACGTTTCAGGCACGTGCCTTCTTATAATGGAGAAGAATACTTCATGGCTAAGGCACTGGCAACACATGAACCGAAAAGGCGAGTTTTCCGTCAAACCCCTTTTTCAGGAATGAGCGCCACTACAACTCGAGGTTGCATCACGCTCCTTCGAACCACATCCCTTTAATCACAGGGGTCACAACGTGGTGCCGAGTGGCGTACCGAACGCTCAAATGTCCTACGTACCACAAACTTCTAACCACTGTTCAGCTGTGCATCTTAATAATCCTAGCCAATGCTTTGGGAACAGATGTACACCCCGTGTAAGAAACTTCCCCACTTATGAATCCTACCAAGATTTTTTTCGGGTCCCGCACAATATGTACTATCCATGGTGTTTAGGCTCGTTCGACCCCCTGATAACACAGGGCTGGAACCAATTTCCCGACTTACACCGATCATAAACCATACTTTACGCCGACGGTAACGAAGGGGTGCATGTTAACAACATATAGGTGCCGTGAAAAACTAAGTAATCATATACTTGTGGGAGACAGAAACTCACCGGTCACGCCGGCACACCCCACTCTTGAGTTTTGTCACGTCCGAGACATAAGTGATGCATCATCTGGCTAACTGAATACCAGAAATTCTTTCGCTTACCGAGGTTTAAGAAACATGGTAAGTTACTTTGCGGGCCATAGTAGCCTTTTCACGCTTCTACTTAATAATGCCCGCTCGTTACTTAAGAAAATATCCGATCTTAGAACAATAGTTTGCTAGCCAAACCCACTGCAGTACTAGTTACTGAATCATGGTGTACTGACTCAATCCTAGATGCGGACCTGTGTATAGATGGTTATACTCTGTATCGCACTAATCGTGACCACAAGCGTGGTGGAGGCTGTTTGATCTATATGTGTAGCCTTGCTATCTCAAATAAGATTGAAGATGATATCCCCAATGATCTGCCGGACTCACTTTGGATCGTTATAAACGGTACCAACTACAAAATCCTCACAGGCTGTGTATATAGAGTACCATGTTCAACAAAAAAAATGATGAACTGATGGCTAGATCATTTTCCCGCACTGGATCCCTCACTGTTGACTTCAAACTGATTGCAGGCGACTTTAACCTACCTGAAGTTAACTGGGAGGGCGGTCGAGGCCCACAACGATTTGATGAAATGCTTGCT